TGTGGTGCTGATCTTGGATTTGTTCCCTCTCTGGCTAATGGAGGTTGTGACCGTACAGTCAATTGTCCTAACATGGCTTCCAGTCCGGCAGTAGATATCTTACCAGGGTTGTATGATATCTCTGCTGCTGTGTCTAGAAATGGGGCAGGTGTTTTCTCCATCACTGCAAGTCTCTCTATCAAGGATTTTGCGTGAACCATTATATCAGAGTCAGTGCCATTAGTGATAAGTTCCTGGGCAAAATAACAGGCACTGTGCAAGGAGGCACTGTGGAGTTCAAGGTTGCCCCTGTTTGCCTCCTGCTTTTTCCTGTTGTCATAATGAGAATTCACCTCTGATATCAGAGTCTCTTCCCTTTGATCAATAAATTTGCGCATACTCTGAGCTTGTTTTCTGATATTTTTGATGGTGGCTATCCTGATGTCAGAGTCCTCTGTTTCATTGGTTGTTTTCATGGCAACTGACTCTTTAAACCTGCTTGTTTTCATGGTTTTCACAAGGGCAGCTTTAATTTTATCTCTACTGCTTTTTGCAACTTGCTCAACTGATGAAATACGATGTCCGCCATGTTCTGTTGCTATACACTCACCACATATAACTGTATCATCATCTTCACAGTAATATTTTAACCTATTATTAGCATGTTTCTCACAACTGATGGCCATTTTTGCAATGGCTTGTGCCACTGCTACATGCTCATTGGCCTGTTTCTCTTCCAATGTTCGTCTATCTTGTTTCTGGGTTATGATATCTTTGGCCTTGCTAAACACAAAATTCTTTTTCAGTTGTTTAAGTCCACCAGCTGGAAACTGGATCTCTTCTCTACAAATGGGACACAGAAATGCCCTATTTGGGGTCAGTGTTTCCTTGGCATATTTGGATATACAACCATAGCAAAATGTATGGTAGCAAGGCAGCACACGGGGGTCCTCATGCTCTCCCAGACAGATGTTACATGTCAAGGGATTATCTGTGAAAGCTGCTGCTAGTGCTTCTGCCATGTCTAACTGTCTCTTTGTTAGTTTACAAAGGATGATTGAGCCAGTTTTGTTACCTTTGGTTTTGACTAACTTGGTCTAAAAACAGAGATCACAATTAAATGCTACCACTTGTTAGTACTGTGTGTACCCCTTAACTGGCTTACTGTCATATTTATCACAACTGTTTTTACAATAATCCTTAAAACATATGTACTGTTTCTTCCTGTCCCTTTTTGAACTGCTTAATGGCAGACAAAAATATGGGGTCTGTTTTTTACCTGACGCTGACCTAACCAAAGCAACTGCCAGGTTATAAAGCAGTTTTTGTTGTCTGGTGGCACAGTGGTATTGTACTTATTCTTAGCTCATTTAAAAAAAATAAAGCCATGTACGTCTTGCTTTGTGTGAAAGAAACCTCCCCAGTTAAAATGACTGAATGACTGGCACTTGTATTACAGAGTGATTTTGTAAAGGTTTATTTTTCTTTTTGTATCGTGCTTAAAAATGATTTTGTAAAGGTTTATTTTTCTTTTTGTATCATTATTAAACATAATACTTGCTTTATGCAGTGTGTAATTTTTCCTCTGCTTCATTGTTCTACTTGAAGTGAAGAGAGTTGTGCTTAATGCTTATTAGTACCACCAGTGTGCATGGTTTTTGTCCCGGCCCGTCTTGTAAGGCTCCGCATTGTGGTGCCAGAAACAAGTCACATTACCACTTCTCCTCCTAGACTGCAAGGGCCTGTGTCCCCATCTCTGGGATTAGGTCACATATAATCTTAACTCAAACCCCCTGTTTTTTTCTCAGTCTGTGCATTGGCCTGAGCGTGGCACTCGTTGAAATGCACCATTGTCAAAATTTTTTTAACATTAAATGCTAAATATCTCCCAAAATGAAGGAATTACTAGACTAAGTATGGGAAAAGTTAGTTAAGAAGTCTGACCGAAAGTCATGTGAAGATTCCAAATATGCCAAAATTTGCTAAAAATGGGAATTTAACAAAAAAATATTTGTTTGTGCCAATTTTCAGAAACTACACATACCTAAGCTCTAATATTAAAGTGAAGGGCTACAATTAGGGACTCCTTTATCTTCAGGAGTTTGGTGTCAATCAGTGCATTTTCACGGGAGAAGCAGCCATAAGAACCTGGAACTGAAAACTCTCTATTCTGGAACCATAAATGCTAGAGACCTCTGGTTTATTTATTTTTATTTTTTATTTTATTGTAATTTTCTACAAAATAAAATTGAGATTTTTTTTATTGCATTTTGTAGAGATAATCAAGCACAACACAGGAAGTGTTGTCCCTTTTTTTTTGTTTTCCATACAAATGTGCTTACTCCAGCTGGTGGTATGTCTAGTTTTATTTAAGTTTCCATGTGTCAGACATTGAACAGTCTTCATTCAAACTGATCAATGATAAGTGTGTAAATATGAATGTTTAAAAATGAAGAAGCTGGCATGCATCGTACATGTTGCTCTGGGTACCACCAGACATCTTGAAGAACAATTATACTGAATATAAAAACTTCCAATTCACTTCTATAGAATATTCTTAAGGTATTCAATTTAGATAGAAAACATCATAACACACATTGTTTTAATTTATACTAATGGTGTCATTTTGAAACAATATCATCTAGCAAGTATATATAATGATATCTAACTTACAGCATTCAGTGGTCAGTACAAGTGAAACCATGATTTAGCCAATATCATTACTTCTTTGATTTTACATTATGTTTTCAAGCAAAACACATTTCGTTTTGCAATAACTACTTACCACAAGTTGCAGTCTGTAAATCCAGATAATATATGGCACTCCTGAAACAGAGCACAAAACCATTCATTCAATCAATGGAAATATCAACCAAATTAAAAATCTGTATCTTGTTATTTTCAAACCTGTCCTTTATACAATTTTTTTTTTAAGACTTTAGCCCTTATTTTAATGTTTCAGCATTAATATATTTTGGAGTAAAACCACTATTAACTGGTTATACATAATAATTCAAGTAAATAAATAAATAAATAAATAACTTAATTAATCAATAAAATACACACAAACAAGTAAATAAATAATATTTACTTTCTTATAGGGCAGTACATAATCCCCAGTCGGTATGGATTGTGTTCAACTCCAACAAATACAATGCCAGCATCATCAGGAGCCCAAACAGCCTGAAAAATACCACTTTCCAGGTAAAAGAATATACATATATTGAATGGATGAATAAGAAAAACCAATTTTGAATAAGTTTAATAAGTATAATGAACACCCCTGAAACATTTGAATATCACAAAGAAAAACAAAAACACTGAAATCTCCTGTATCCACATTGAGGAAGAACTTACCTGTCCTGGGGAGACATTGTCTGGTATGTTTTCAAAAACACTGAAATCCCCTGTATCCACATTGAGGAAGAACTTACCTGTCCTGGGGAGACATTGTCTGGTATGTTTTCTAAAACACTGATATCCCCTGTATCCACATTGAGGAAGAACTTACCTGTCCTGGGGAGACATTGTCTGGTATGTTTTCTAAAACACTGATATCCCCTGTATCCACATTGAGGAACAACTTACCTGTCCTGGGGAGACATTGTCTGGTATGTTTTCTAAAACACTGATATCCCCTGTATCCACATTGAGGACACACAGAACTGGGTGGTGTTTGCCAACCAGAAGCTCTCCCCATTCATCTTTGTACACAAATTGATCTCCCTGGAATAAACAAAGATCATTCTTACAAAAATTTGTGAAAGAGGACATGCAAGTTAGTGAAAGAGCATTATATTCAGTTTAGGTTAATTTGGCAAATTGCATGGGTGTGAGCCAGCATGCCACTTTGCAATTTAATTTGTATAACTGTATTGTTTAATATATCTATTAGTATAATGTAATATGTTTGTAATATATCTATTGTTATGTTACATTATCTATTTTTCTTGTCTTAAACCACTGAAATTTTCAGCTTATGTGTCATATTCACACCTTAATAGCTTCTTCTGAATCTTTCCCCTTGGAATCCTCTGCCTGTTCATCCTTCAATTTCTTTGGTTTATTATCAAAATAGGAAGCTGTCTTGGGCTGCTTCTTCTCAGCCACATACAGCAAGTGTCCCTCAGAGGCAGACCACTCAAAACAACCAAATGTGGCTGAAATATAAATAAACAAAGTGGATTTATACTAATGAAGTTTGATGGTATAAACACGAAGAAATAAAATACTGGTGTCTTTATTCAGAGAAAACTGCCAAGGCAAGATGAATGAAAATACAAAGGTATATATACAATTATAAGCACAAAAAATTCAAAATATCACTGTCATAGTAGCAAATTTCTAATATCTGTAATATATCTCTATAATGTTATTTCTTGAAAATTCAATAAGAAATCAGAACTCCATGAAAGTGAAGTCATTGATGCACAACATCACCAGATAATTTTCCTACCGTCATTTTCATAAATCTTTCCATGCTTCTCCTGAGCATCCACATCAATGTTTGTCAACTTTTGATACTTGTTCCAGATCTGAAATTATACAAATGGTTAAGTCTGCAAAAATATAAATTCTTTATAAGTCAGACATAAGAAACAGTACATAAACTCTGAGCTATTTATACAGGGCATTTAAATGTACCTAAAAGCAGGTTTTGCACTAAATTTTAAATTTCAGGCTTATACTAAGCTCTAAATGAAAATATGGGGACCATTTCTGAGTCAACAAAAATGACTGTGTTAGAAGGTAGAGCTCACTTTCCATAAATGAACCAAGAACAGTTGCAGATGCACCACTTGAAATCTTGTAGTAAATAATATCTTTCTATGGAATATAACTAATAATAAGTAGCTCAATTCATATAAGTAAATATAAAGTAAACAGAAAATGTTAGATGAAAGCATGAAATTACAATAATGATGAAAGAGATGAATTAGCTAAAAATACTACAGATAAGATCAATTTCTCTCATTTTCCCAAAGCAGGAAACATACCTCAATGTACTGTTTATCCTTTCCATCTTTGTCTTTGACACTTCTCACAACACCTCTAAACTTTCCAGAAGGTGCTTCCTTACTGTAAATTCTGAAAATGCCGAAAAGCTGAAATTTAAATTTGCAACTTAGATGTTGGCAAAAGAGATTTAAAGTGGTGGTCTGAAACTTGCCAAAGCCCTGCCTAATCATTGCAGGTGACACTGAATCTTGCCACGTTGCAGAAGGAAGTTCTCTCACTAAAAATAATGGGCACTTTTGCTGTATCCCTTCCACCACCATATAATCCTGTGATATTCCATATCTTTTCTCAATTAATTTGTGTGGTGATTTTGAGCAATGTCTGTGCTAATCAAATAAATTAGTTTAGCAATGTATTTACTTATTTTAAGATGTTTTTCTCATTAAACTCAATTCCTGCCAAATATTATGAGAGCCAAGTTATCACTGGGGTGTAATTTGTCAAAGAACTTACAGTTTTATAAAAAATAAGTTAGTAAATTTCTGAACTAATCTATCTGAATAGCAAAGTCATTCAAAGTCGCCACATAACTTAACATTAAAAATAAGAGAGTTACAGGGTGGAATTGGAGGATAATGCAAAAGTTTCAATTAATACTAAATTCATACACAAAAACAATAATTATGCAATTTACATACTCCTTAGAAACATCTATGGGATCAGAGTCAAGTAAAACTTCTAGTCCCCTCTCTGTTTTTGCCAGGGTCTGCTGGCGAGCAAACTTGACTTTCTCATTGCGTTCTAGATCTCTCTGCGACCACTCAGAGTATACTGAGCGAATGAGGCCTGCCTTGGGAGGAGCTTTGCTAAATCGCCCCAGAGAGAGACAGGGAATCTTGGCAATATCATGGTAGATTTGAACTGCATCTTCCACCTGAAGTGTTAGAGCATTGGATCAAATATGGGAAATTGATAGCATTATTGAAATATACAGTACATATAATCAATCATGAACACCTTTTTAAATAGTCAAATATCATTAAATTTAACAATAAAAATTTAACATGCATATCAGATGAAAACTGTGCATTTTACATTCTTCTCTAGGTAATGCCTGCAAAGACAGTACCAGCATACATGTTATTATCAAATACAAATGCTTCTATGGCAATTTTATTAAACTCATTTAAAAATACTTTTTACAGATTTTGATTATTATTATTATTATTTTGGTAGACGAGCGTATATTCTGAAGTCATGTTATGTGGTTTTAGGGTTCAATGAAAAAGCAAGGTGACAACCAAACATAAACCCAAGCCTTTTATTTCAAGTTGGTACAACTCCACATAATTTTTTTATCAAAACCATCAAAAAACAAGAGATCTGTCAGTGATGTGCTGCATATCCACCTGCATCTTACCACCGTCGAAAAGTACTTTGCTGTGTGGCGAATCATCGACAAATATGTCAATATACACAAGTTATCAAACAATTTATAAAGCAACACTTTTCACCTTGTCCATCTTCCTGGTAAATAAAACGCGCGTGCACTGACGGTAGGAAGTAAAATAGATATAATCAATTTTTTTGAACTAATGTCACTTACAGTTGAATATTCTGAATATTATGATATAATATCTATATATATCATTTAAAAATGATTTGAATTTCAATTTCACTCTACAATTCTTCAGTATGACATTGTTTTTATATAAGCGCTAACTCACGACTGTGTATCAAGATGGCGACTTGCACAAAATTGTCACGTTTTCTGGCTTCACCCAAATTAAATCCGTTTTGTGGGGTGATTATGTGTAGTGCCAAAAGTAAGGAGTGTATTTAACTTGAGATTTGTCAAAATACTTCAAATAAATCTTACGACTAGTAAATCATATGGTCAAATGTATGTACACATCTTGTTATAAATGTTGATACATTCCAATTTTAAGATTATCTATTTTAAATTGCCCAAAATCTACATTATCTTCACTTTTCTTCCAGGTAATCAGCATCACTCTGCTCGCCAAAAGTCTTCTTCAGCAGAAAATGACAATAATTCAAGGTATGACATGAGAGGCTTTTTATTATTTATATTATTTCCCTGGTCTGATTATGCGGTTACACTGAAATGTGCAATACAGGCTGCGCAATACACACACACACACACACACACACACACACAAAAAAAAAAAAAAAATATATATATATATATATATATATATATATATAAAATAAACACAGAAAAAGGTCATTTTTAACAAAATAGAAATATATGAAAGGGTCAAAACACGGTAACGGTGCCATGGGTGTCAATTTTTTTTT